GGGGGGACCAGAAGTGAAAAGAGGGAGATGGAAGACGGAGATGGAACGAAGAAGAAGAAGATGGGGGGATTTGTATTAAGGGGTATAGCGCCACTATTAATGGCGCTATGTCTTCAGGTATAAGACATATAGCGCCATTATTAGTTTGTCATTATAACGCCACTAATAGTGGCGCTATACAGTAACGGTACAGTTTACGTTACTGTATAGCGCCACTATTAGTGGCGTTATATATACTTTGGTAACTTTTTTTTTTACACTTATTTTAGTATTTTTAGTTAAAATTAACAATATTTTGGTTCGGCCACCTTCAATACACTCTTTTGAGCAAAATCCAAGCAAAGGCTACTCCTTTAGGTTACATAACCAAGCTAATACTAGTAGTCGTACGTATGAGAGCTATAGATGTCGTAGCTAGGTTGTGAAGACAGTTTATAGTAGTTGTATAAGTTATATATACTGTGGAGGATAAAACACCAACACTAACGGCGTCATCGTAAAGTAAATGGTAAATTAAGACTTTAACACTATATTTGGATTATTGTTACCCATTGTTTTATAATGTATTGTATTGTACTGTATTATGTTGTATTATATCGTTTTATGGATATAATATTTGAAGAGATTGTATCGTTTGTTGTTGTTATATAACATTTTATTGTTCGGTTTGACAGTATCGTATTGTACTGTAACTGATAAATTCACTAAAATACCCCCAATTGTTTTAAATAAAATTTATCAAAAATTACACATAAAAATAATTTAAGACAACCTCTTTTTACTAATTTATGATTAATTACATGCTTGAAAACAAGAGCAAAAATCTGGAAAAAAAGGTTAACTAATATTAGCCAAAAAAAACGATGGAAAGAGACAAAGAATTGAACGGAGACTTGGATAAAAAGAACGGGGCAAACCAACTCTAGGAAAGATGGAAGAAGACAAAGTAGGTCAACAGGTTGGAGATTTGGAGTTAAAATAAAAAAAATTAAATAACAAATAGAATTATAGAGTAATAAGTAAGAGCATAATTGAAAAAGAAAATAGGAAACGATCCCACCACATCAAATCGATTGTTTCATAAAATGGGGCTTTTAATTTTTCCAGAACAATGAATTTAACAATATGATACAACCAATTTTAAATAAGCAATCAAAACAAACATTATTTTAGAATAATAATACAATACAATATTACAATGGGTAACAACCATCCAAAAAAGCTGTAAATAAAGAATGAAAGCTATAAAGATCTTGTTGATGATGGTCATTAAGCACCAAACAAGCAGGGCCAACGACGTCGTTATTATTGGGAAATTAAAAGTAATTTTGAATATTCTAGTCTAGAATTACTAAGTGCATGTACAGTCAGACCTCTCTATAACAACATCCCTATATAATAACATTTTATTATAAAAGTCAAGCTTTTCCGGAATCAATTTCCATGTTATATTATAATAAATATTCTATAAAATAGCACTTCGCTATAACATTCAAAAATATTCGGCACAAACAAAACTGTTATAGAGAGGTTTGATTGTACTTTAATGTTATTCAAAGTGAGTACTTAGAATATCTACGTGAAGCCTTTATGTTATCTGGGTGCATGCTTTTGTATTTTTAAGCTGGCCAAATTGATTATATAGAAGGTTTCACTGGCATTTATTACTATTGAGTTAGACTTTTGTTTGGATTGAAATAATAAGACATCATGCGAAACTTAACAAAGCAAACCTTGAAGATGATAAATCACACGGCAAAATAAAATAAAAATAAAATGTTATAAGAGAATAGTGTAACTATTTGGTCAATTGACCCCATATATTTTCCTTTTTAGGAAAAGTAAAAGCAACTATGATAAGTATTTTATCATTTCTTCAAGTAATAGGTAAAATTCAAATATGGAAAGAAAATTAGGGTAAATCATAACAATTCTCCCCTTTGACCTAAATTTTCTTAATAATAGATCAACATTCTTTACATAATCTTTATCACTGTTGCATGTCATAGTTAAAAGTGAGAATTGGATAAAAATTGAAGTGTTGTGCATTAAAAATGAACACGGGGAAAATTATTAGAGCCTTGTGTCAAAGTTAAAAGTGGAGCCATATGCTAAAAGTGAATAGGGGTAAAAATGGAGCCCTACATTAAAAGTGAGAAAAGTTAAAAGTAGGCGCTCATCCGTTAAAAGTAAGCATGAGTTGAAAATTGGAGCTCACGCGTTAAAAATAAGCATGAGTTAAAAATAATTTTTGTTTTTAAAGATGTAACAACATGATTATTGAAAACATGGTTAACTTTTTTATCTCCACATGTAGTACTCCATTATTTTTTTACAAAAATCTTCGTTATCCTCAAATTGGCCGTGCTTGATCAAAACCCGCTTTGAACATGTCCTCAACCTCATTTCAAACCACTGGCTCTGTTCACTTGTTGGGATTGAAATAACATTGTCATGCTGAATCTAACAAAGCAAACTTTAAAAATAATATATCAAACGATATAAAACTCTAAATATTATAACGAGGTATGGTCAATTGACCTACATATGAGAAAACTAATATAAAAGAAATATAAAAAATATTGAGAGAAAAATCTCTCTCTAAACAAGACTCTCTTAAAGCATATGATGGATGCTATTATGTTATCATGCGAAAGAGGGATCCTCAGTTTATTGAGCCTATAAGTTTTTCCTCCAAGAAAAAGAACTTTCATATATGGAAGAAATTTATATTTTCCTCTTAGGAAAAGTAAAATAAATTATGGTAAATAAAATTTATATGTGAAAAGAAAATTAGGACAAACCCTAACAACTTTTCCATGAACACTTATAAATATCTTTGTACGTAATCTTGTAACTTAAGAGTAGAGTTTTTAAATATGATAAAAGTGTGTCCAATTTATGTTTACCTCCATCTACCATCCTTTCCGTGTCTTATTATATTACTAGTCTTAGAGTACACGCTTTGCGTATGCATTCTATATCAGTAAAATACTATTTCAAAAAAGTAGTAAACAATTTAATAAGCAGTGTGTTTGACTTTTAAAATAAAAATTAACAAATGTATAAGTTCTTGAGAATGATGACGACTAAATACTTTATTTAGCTGGCTCAATAAAGAAAGAATTCTTTCATAAAAGTTCTTAGATGCCTTACTGTAGTTTCTAAGGACTTCTGTAGAAATATCTTATAAAAGAATATTGTTATTTTTATGACCTAATACAAAAATAAACAAAAAAAATATGTAAATATTATTATCAACAAATATTTGTCAAATAAGATACATTTTAAAAAAATGAATTTCTCTGCCATTTTAGGAATGAAGAGGTTGGTGTTATGCTCATAAAAAAAAAGTTGATAAGGGGCTAACGTAAAGCCTAAATGACTTATATTTTTTACAGAAAATAATTTAATATAGAGCATAAGAGGAGTTGTCATTTGTAAAATAATAATAATAATAATAATAATAATAATAATAATAATAATAATAATAATAATAATAATAATAATAATAATAATACATGACAATTCGTTTAGAATATAATTTGTATTCTATTGTTTCCTCTTTATTGTTTCAAGTTTGTATTTTTACTAATTTGACTCTTAATGTTATTATAACCAATTTTACCATATGCTAAGGCTATTCTTATCACACACAC